TTTAATCTAAACCTTTATCATTATCTTCCTTCTAAGTTATATCTCTGATTTGGAAAGTACATCATTTAGAATATAATTTCATCATCAATATTCAAAATGTAGCTAAGTGTAATTTTGACTAGTATAAGTTAATTCCTTTTTTTCCCCATTTTTTTTTTTAAATTGAAACTTTTTAACTCTTTGTGTACCAAATAAATTTCCTTGTTGCTTGTATAGTACTTCCATGCAGAAACCAAAAATATTGCCGAACCCGAAAATATGAAAGATGACATGGCTTGATAACCATTGTTAAAATATGTTTTAAAACTTGATTATTGAAATCTGAATAAAACTTTTTAAATTCTTCGCCCTAGAAAATTTTGTTCTTCCAGTAAGGATTCGTAAACTGATGTAGTGTCAATCACATTTACAGCCTTTTTTAGAAAGAAAAAGAAAGTTCATTTGCCTTTTTCCCCCCTATTTCTCTACTGCTTGCTCTCTATCGATAAAATTTTTCCATCATTTTTAATTTTATAACACATGAGCTATCAATAAAAAAGAATTGCTTTTTTTTTTAGTTGATATCCTTATACAGTCACCCCCATTTAATTGCATTACTGACAATAACTTTTAAAAGTGTAATTTACGAGTTTAATGGATGGTCAGTGGGTTGAAAGAGTGAGATTTACTTCTCTGCAGAGGGCTATTTCCTGTATCTCAGCCCAATACTTGCTGATTGTATGGAACAGCTATAAGAAATATTCCTAGTTCTGCACAGTTCTGGAAAGAAGACAAATCACTCTTTGAATACTTGACACTCTATTTTTGTCAAATTTCACACTTTTCTGAATGTCAGCTAACAAGAAAGCATTTCTGGGGGAAAATGATTGCATCCTAGTTTGCAATGAGAAATGTATTTATGTATGTATATTGAAAAAGGAGGGGATGGAACTTAATAACGATAAACAAATTTCAACCAAACAATTTATTTATTGTCCGAAATTATAAAATAGTGCATATAAATAAAAGGCTTCAATAGGAAAAGAAATTTTGAAAATAAATTTGTCCTTTAAAAATCAGCCTCATATATAATAGAAAAGCAATAAGAAATAAAACTAAATATGTGTATGTAATTTTAGAAAGTTATCCATGCTTTTATCAGACAGATATTTTATCTGTCCTAATTAGAATTTTAGAATCTTTTTCAGGATTGTATTTTAAAAGGAAGTATTTTTATTGTGACAACTTTAATGATGTTTTCAATAATTTTACTAACAACCAACTCATACATCCCTAAAACACAGTAATAACTTTTAATAATAATGAATTTTTTTTTCTTCCATTCTTCATTAAAGGTCAACTAATAAAATTTAACTCTCTAAACAAACAAAGGCTGTTACATTTTAAACTTTTGCGATCAATTTTACACGGTGGTAGTTCATGTAATAAATATGTATCAAGTTGGATAAGTAGAATTGTTCTCAATTTTGTCAGCACTAAAAAATTGCAAGACTATCAGATTTTCTATGGTTGAAACAAATGTGTTGTTGTTGTCCTTTTAAAATTAATTCCTAAGTAAAAAAATGAAACTTTTTTTAAACCCTTCAAAATACTGTTTGAATATATATTTATTTTGTTAAATTATTCAATAAAAATAACTTTTTTAATTTTCTCTATTGAAAAAAGGTTTATACTCCTTGCTAAATAAATACTAGATTGTTTGACCTGTTTTTTGGTCTCAGTAATAGTAAAAAACTGAGTAATACATATAAATTAACTTTGCGTAGCCTTTTCCTTTTATTATTGTCCTTGATATAAATTTATTATAATTAAATCAGAAATTTGAAACAAATACATAAGAATAGTATTTACAAAATTTCGTTTAAATAATTATAAAAAATAGAAATTATTTTATCCTCTGATATTTACCTAGTCTTGTTTTTACTTAGTTTGGTTGGAATACATTTGTATGCAAGCCATATTGTTTTATTAAATAATGAATAAGTACATGAGAAAACTTTAAAGTAGTTTCTTGTTAAATAATTTAAGCTACCAAAAATTAATGCTTAATTGCTATTTATTAAATTCCTTTATTATGATGCAATAAAAAAGTATCATCTTTAGTTTTAAGAATTTTGCGCACATTATTAATATATCACTTGATAGTATTCTATAAAATTTTAATTGTGACAAAAAATAATCAGAGTTTAGCTGAGAAAAATTGTTTCAAAATATTATATGGTTTTTATATAAACTTAATACTTTGAATTAAACTTAAACAGATATTTAATCTCATCCGTTTCTTTGTAGTTGGACGATTTTTCTTTTAGCAAAAATGTTTTTGATTGTACAAGTTATTTTTTAAAAATTCAATAGTTTGCCTTTCGTATTCTGTTCAAAATTTTTTAAAATTTTATTTCTGTACGAATTTAAGATGCGATAATTCAAGGGAAATGCATAAAATATGACAAAAACAACAACAGAATAAGACTTTGTTTCAGCATTTTTTAGAATAATATGAATAAGAAAAAATGTGATTAAAAGAATGTTTGCAAAGCAAAATTTTAAAATTAGTTAACTTTAATGACGAAATAGTAAGATATTTCCTGGCAGTTAGAAAGAAATAAAATAAGTCAAATTCTAAACTTAGTTAAAATCTCTTCTTTCATAAGTAAGTAAGTTCGCAAAATAAAATTTAGCTGATGAATATTTTCCAAATATCGAATTTACAGTACTTATAATGAAACAGCATAACATTATTACTAGAGATATTTTAAAACTTTTTAAAAATATGCAAGTATTCAATAAAAAAAAAATTATAAGTAATTTTAGATATATTTTATTTATTCCTATTTTTTTTAATTTCAACTCAGACTTCAATTTTTAAAAAGATAGAAATAAAATAGCAACAAAATGTTTGATTTAGTATTAGAAAAAGAAAACCTAAAATTAATATTTTTTCCCTTCAAAACAAACTTTTACTATCAGTACAATTAAACTCCTAACATACTATGAACTCTTAAATAAACTCACAACTCTTCTGCCATAGTGATTTATGATGACAGCTATAACCACCCCTCAATTAGTACCCAGTCAGCGGTCGTAGGGGAAGGAGAGAAAAATACCAGCCAAAAACTCTGGTCTGTCGTTAGAGATGCAGACAGGCAACCCGAGTTATTTCAGTCTTGCCGCTTTACGTGTAGAAATCATGCCCGAGTTATTTCGTGTCAGCCGCCAGGAGGGTTAATAGATATTCACCTGGAATGGCTTTCTTTTGCTCCATGAAAATATCCAAGGTTTTTTGGTCATTCCGTATTTGGTTCACTTTGTGCTAGTACTATTGAAAGTAAATTTAAAAATATTCTATTAAAACAATATATTTTAAAAGCTAAACAAGCTGTCTTCATTTTTTAAAAGTAGTGTACCAAAACATTAAAAAAATAAAATTTTGCCAAATTGTTAAAATGATTTTTTTAAGGTGATATATTAAAAAATTAACATTTTAAATAAAATACTTCGTAATATTGACGCTTTTCTTGTACCCATCCTGCATTTTATGAGGGGAAAAAACATTCTGACCTGGAAAAATGAGGGAAACCTGATTTGAGTGGCCACCCCATGTTTAAATTATGGCATGTAGGACTGAGGATTGACATTGAGTCTTATGACATCCTATACGAATTTAACAATGTAGATTTGTAGTTTAAAAAATAACTGTTTCCCATAGACACAGTGGAAAATCTGAAATTCGAAAAAATGTGGAATCTCAAGGGGTCTATACACCGTTAAAGATTTCATCATCATACAGTAGGGTAGTATTGAAGATGAACCATCACTTTGGTTTTAACTGCACCAAAGAACTATGTGTCCTTTTTTTTTCTTTTCATTATTATAATTTTCTCTAAGAGCCAAACAGTTGTGGTGCTGGCAACATTTGAGCGAAATTCATTATCTGCACAAAAAAGCTATTTTGAATGACAGGGACAGAATTCAAAATATTTTTTTTATTACCTTATATTGTAGCAGGGCTCAAAGAAAGTCAGAAATTTTACCCGTCCCCGAGAACATCTTGTCCAACAATGTACCCGTCCTCCTTTGAAATTAACCCGTCGCTTCTAAATAAATAAAAATATAATTTTCTCTTATTTATTACAAACATTTAAATAAATTGCACAATGAATTAGTGGTTACTAGGATTACAAATACTAGGTTACTAATAGTAAAACCTAGTATTTCTTTTATGAAATAATTTATTTCTTTTATGAAATAATTTAAATGACAAAGGTCAAGTTATCTGGAATGTCAATTTATCCGAGGGTACTTCGTTTTTTAAATGAAACAAATATGACGTTTGCCAGTTCCACAATCAAGCCAATGATTTACAGAGGTTTCTGCACAGAAATCTGAAAGGGGTTTTCCATTTAGGTAGATGTTCATAATTGCGTTTAACGCTTCTTGTTTAAGACCAGTACGTAATGTGTTTTTTTGTAAGCTCATTGCTGAAAAGCCTCTTTCAACCACTGCAGTACTCCCAGACAGAGAATACATCAATTCCACCAAGAGCAGTATGTTGCTGTATTTCTAGATTAGAGGGTCATTTTAGAAGTGAGGCGCTAGACTCTTGTAAAATAACAAAAATTGAAAATGTATCACGAATATTAACTGGAAAATGGCCGTCCGTGCGGATGTCGGATTCGAGAAATTTGTTGTCCGCAGGGAATTTTTGACCGCCGAGGACAGGTGGTTTTTCGAGCCCTGTATTGCAGCATAAATAAAATAATCAATAATAGGTACTTTTCAGATGGGCACAAGTTAATTCAATTATTATTACTTTATTCAATAATTTGAACTCAAACTGATCTTTCTGAAAAATAAATAATAAAAAAGTTAGTTGAGTTGTACTTGTGTTTGGGCTTACGGAAAAGTACCTAATAAAATAAGTACTATCTTTAATGAAGGTTGGTCACATTATTTCAGTTCTTGTTTTAATCTTATGATGTAACATTTGATTTTTACTGCAGGAGCAAGCAGTTTCCAGCATTAATCAGAGTGCTAACTTTATTTCTTCGATGTTTTGGTTTCTGCTGTTTCCAATTACAAGCATATGGAATTACATCAGATCATTCTTTACTGGAGCTGACCCGCCATCTTTGACTCAGCCCAATCAAACTGTGCCAAGTTCATCAGAAAATTCTGATAAAAATACTGACAAGAGGTGGTTATTTTTCACTTTAATTTATTTATTACATTGGAAATCATCCAGCATTATAATTACATGATATGTTTTATTGTTTAAACTTTATTAATTTACTGTGTAATTCATATTGATAAAATCATAGATGTGCTCTGTCTATTTAAAGAACTCTGGTTGAACCTGAAAATAAGTATTAACTTAAATTAAATAAATAACTGCTCACCATTGCTTTTTTTTTCTTTTCTTTTTGTGAAATATTGTTTGATAACAAAAGTAAATCATTTCCATTCATTCTTGTTGAATAGATGGAAAAGTAGGGGATCTCAAAAAGTCAAAGAATTCTTATTTTCTCTCTATCATCTGACTTGCATTTGAATATATAATTCGCCAACTTGATTTGAGAGGCTTAGACAATTCAGCTTGATGCTTATGTTGATCATTCTCAGTAGGAGTAGAGTTTCTTTAATTTACTAGTTTATTTTATAAAATCAGCTAATGAAGTTGTTATTAATGAATAAAATCTTGTTTCATCAGCACTTGAGGTAGATAACTCTAATTTTGGAAGAGTTTTACCTACCTTTGTTCAATTATCAATGATACTAACAATATACAGGGGTGAAAGTTTCAAAAATTGTCAAGACTGAAAATTTCAAAATCATAACAGGGGTCTGTCCAGGCCAAATTTACTACCGCTTAGCGGTACCTTCACAAATTCAATTTTAGGTGAAACGGTAGTTTCACAAATTCAACTTTAGGAAAAACGGTAGTTTCACAAAATACTTTTTCTTAAAATTTTATTTTTGTATCCCTTTAGAAACGATAAATCTATATTTTTACCATGTTTTTGTATTGATTTCGTAATATAATTTTAAATTTTTCACAAATTATGCCTAAATTTTCACAAATTAGGTACCTTTCAGAAAAACCTAGACAGACCCCTGCATAAGTGGGCGTGTCCCGTCCAATAATTTTAAGTAAACAAAAAATTATATATGAATTCATGAATTCTTTTCATAAAAATTGTGAACAAACTTTTCAATAAAAATACACAAAATGCAAATAATGCTTTAAAAAAATTCCATATTTATTTTAGCAAACCTATTATTGTTCAGGAGTATTGTTCAGTTCAAAATATGCAAAGTAATTAGTTATTTCAAGCAAAAATTACCTCAGCTTTTAATTTTTTTCAAGCATTTAATTTTCTAATAAAATAAAGTGCTAGCATTTTAAGGAAAAGAATAATACTTAGCTAAATTAATACTTTGTTAATAAATAACAAAAACAATGATAAATTCCATGATAGCATTTAATAACTCACCTCCACTTACTTCGTAACTAGTAGAAACGTTAGATAGAAAAACAATCCACAAATTTTGCGAGTCGCGATTTCACTTTACTTCTCTTCTGACAAATACCAATTTTTTTTCCTAAAGAAAAATAAAAACGGAAATTTAATCGCGCAAGCGCGGAACTGACTGATCGACCTTAAGCAGGAAGGTGAAGTCACATGTTGCAGTGACGTTTTCCCCTACACACCTTCACCCATTAGAGAAAACCGGTTCTCTCCTCTGACGTTAACCTACATACGAAACCGGGGGAAAGAGAAAAAAAAATAAAAAACCTAGAATTTACTAATACGGTAGAACTCCAATTATCCAAATCAATTGGGACCGGACCCCATTCGGATAATTGGATTTTTTTTTAAAAAAATGCTCATTTTAAATAATTACTGTATATATAGTGAAAATGAGGGGAAAAACTGTTTTTAAGGAAAGAGATCTTTTTATGAATAATGTGTACATACCTTGCAGTAAATGAAAGTTATTACATGCTAAACATCTCAGTTAAAGTAAGCTGTTTAACTGTCTTCATCCGTTTTCGGGCAGCTAAGTCGCACATTCGTTTGACAGTGAAAAGTTGCATATAGTCACACTCGGGTTGGTGCTCCATCCACTTCATTGCAGTTTCAAGGCCAGCAAATGCTTCACTAGCTGACGGCCCTGTGTCTTCCTTAATTTCAGCTTCATTGACACTTTCCTCCATCACACTTTCAATAAGTGCATCATCATCTAAAATTTGAAATCCACTCTCCTATATCTTCATCACTGACATCTGAACATCCAGGAATTTTCAAAAATATGTTTCTGAATTCCTCAAGAGATCCTCATCTTCTGTCTCTTCCCCTTTTTCTTTTTTTTTTTAAACTTATTTTTCCCTTTTCTCTTTTTCCTTCTCTTCTTTAGTTGATACGCCTTTTAACTTGTTCCATGCACGTCTTAATGAGACATCTTTAACTAAATTCCAAGCTTCCTCAACCATGTGCACGCAATCTTTCAAATTTATCTTTTTGTGGTTATCCAACACACCTTCTTCATCCTTTCCCTCTACTAAAAGTTTCCTTCAAAGTTGTCTTCGGTAAAGTGCCGCCAATTGGCACAAGCAAGCTGACCAGGGGGTCTAGCGTTCACATTTCTTTGACGACAAACAACATTCCTAAGATAACATTCCACAACTAACATCCTTATTCATACAGTCTCCCATGTGCTCTTTTGTCACTGGATTCCCCCTCATTTGTTTATCTTTGTCCTATCCTGTAAACTTTCTCCGCATAAACCTTTCCTTGGCTTTACTAACATTTTATTTTATTCATATGAAAAAAGAAAATGAAAGAGAAACTTATCTTTTTACTATATTTCCATAGGAATTCTGAAAGCGATTCAGATAATTGGAGTTCTACTGTAGTAATATTCCGTTTCGCTCCGTCTTGTGGTTTTTTTAAAAAGATGGAAATCCGTCAAAATATGGAAAACTTTCACCCCTCACAATATATCAGAAGAAATAAACTCCAGTATACAAAAAGAAAAATGTCTTTCCTTATATCAATACTTCTTGCTGAGAAAATCCAAGTTTTATAAAACAGTTATCAAACCTATAGTTATGTATGGTGATGAAACTTGGACAAATAAAGACAAATCTAACCTAAATTTTTGACCATAATCAGAAGAAAAAAGATAACTCGATTTTTTGGATTCAGATGTTTGGCATCGCTGAAAGATTAAATGATAATGGAAATCTTACAACTTGAGACCTAAAAAAAGATGGTTGGACGATACCACCCAAGATCTAACTACACTGATGGTAAAAGCTAGAAATTAAAAGCCAAAAGTTTTGAAACAATAATTTTTTTAAAGTTTTAACACTAAAACGGCTATTTTTTATTCAATAATAGTGCAGGAATACTTTAATGCTGTATTTAGTCATTATAAAAAATAATCATATCGACCCATTTTCGGCCAAAGGTGCGCAAACGCATCATCTCAATAAATATTTTTCTATCGACACTGTGGCGTGTATTTTATACTCATTTTATTTTTCTGCTATTGTCAGGGTTCTTAAGACACCCAAAAATTAACAGTAATTCTTCAATTGGAGTAAACACTTTCTGTTAAGAAATTTATAAACTATTAAAGTTTTTTTTAAACTCAAAACGGTTATTGAAAAATGAAATTTTTTGAAAATTTTTAATTATTCCTTTTGAGATTTATCATTGTTTTTATGGTGGATTAAAGTTGTAATTCAGTAAATAAAACAAATTTCATAAGAAAACAAGCATTCAACTACATGGTTTGTTCATTGATTTGGTGAATGGTGCCTATACGACCCATTTTATTTCTTAAATAAAATATAATTTTTTATACATACATTTTTTTGTGTGTCTTAATGAATATAATGTAAGCATAAATAATGAAAATACCACATTTTATATGCTTAGCTTAAAATGAGTGAACTCAAAACATAATTGACTAATTGATATGGCAGAGGAAAAAAACTATTAAGCATTTTAATAAAGTTGACAATGTACCGAAATACAAAATAAATGTAACTCATTAAAAAAGGTAGAGTTGCATGCCCAACCGTCTGAAGGAGGGAAACATGGACACAATTTACATAATAAAAGCATAACTACCAACGTACATAGGAAAAAATCCTGTAGATTTTACGAAATATAAATGTCATGCTAATTGTTGCATAATATTTATAGTCATCAAAAAAGAAAAACTGCATTATTTTCCAGTCATGATTGGCATTAATATGCTTGAAATGTTATGTATTATGTTTACTCATAATTTTGAATAGTAATATGCACTTCATTCATAAAAAAATATTTAAGATTAGATTTTTTAATTAATTCAAAAAGAGAGTTCTGAATAAAAACAAACTGAACAAATTAGAACAAAAAAAGAAGTTTCAAACTGACTTCTGTAAATGAGTCTCGCTTCATTATATATTAGTAATACTTATTTAAATATTCAAGCAAGTAATAGTCAGTGCAAAAATTCTATTTCAATAGGGATTTTTTTATTGAACCAGTAGAAATTAGCAAAATCTAGTTGAGTTGGCAGCTATCTATAAGTCAACAACAAAGTTAAATCACCACTAATCATTTAGGAAAGCATTAAAATAACAATAAAAAAACTTAAGCAAAAAAGAAACCACCTAAATGAAGCAAAATTACCTTAAATTGACATCGTATAAATCTATTACTCGCGGAAAATTAAGGATACGAGTATTTATCATCGGTACAAGTTAAAAATATATTTTAAAGAAAGCTTTTTTCTTTTTGACTTATTACTTTTCTTTGACCTCAGAGGGAGAGATCTCTCAGTTCATGTCTTTATAATAGCATTTTCCAATGGCAAAACTGCATTGTCAGTTTAATCCAGTGTTTCTTAACCTTTTTGATATAATGGACCCCTTTTAAAAAATTTTTAAGAAGTTACGGGCCACCCCCCTTGTGAAAAAAATAATTGCAAANTAGAAACATTATAACTGCATTGTCAGTTTAATCTGTGCAGCCGAATGATTGTCACTGTCCGGTTTATCCAATACCACTTTTTTGTGTAATCTCTTTGCCCATCATTTTACTGTAATTGCATCCTCATCACAGTTTTCTAAATATTATCTTTGTCTAATATCGCATTTTAATGCATTGTGCGATACATCGTACACACTCTCTCTTTATTGCTTCCATTGAAATCCTTCGAAAATGGAATTGTTCTCAATGTCATCACCAAAAAATAAAGTTGAGGGACATGTTATTCCAAACATTCTTTTAAGGTTTTCCCATGATTGCGGGACATTCCTTATTGCTTATAAAAATTTAACGAATATAGACTCTCAAAAATCACAATTTCTTAACTCAAAAAACTGGATTGGTAAAAAAGAACAAATGTAACATGTTGAATTGCTTTAAATTTGAGATATTTTGGCTAGACATATTTCGCATAAATCAAATACTGTTCCTATTGATGTTGTACTGGCAAGTTTGAGGGAAAGATGAAAATAAAAAGAGGTACTCTTGAAGTTATCAATGATAAAGAAAGATGGGTTTAGAACCTTAAAGAAGAGAACATGTCAGTTCTCTCAATATACTTCAATGCTGTTTCTGAAAACACTGTCCTTCCTAAAATGAGTTTGTAAAATTTGGTTAAGACCTTTTAAAGAAAACATAGCTGCCAATATGGATAGGAAGAAAAAAAATCCAGTAGATTTTACTAAATATAACTTTCATGGTTGCATAATGTACTAAATATTTTACACATAGTTTTATAGTCAGAAAAACTGCAATATTTTCCAGTTATGATTGACATTAAACATGCTTGAAACGTTATGTTAACTCATAGTTTTGAATATTATTGGCATCTAATTCCTCAAAGAGAGCTCTATAAATGAGATTCACTTCATTATTTAAATATTCTAGCAAGCAAGCAATAATCTGTACAAAAATTCTATCTCAACAGGGACTTTTATTTTTAGGAAATTTTGTAAAATTTACAAAAATCAGTAGAGTTGGCAGCTATGAAACAATAACTGATTTCTCCCCCATTTTCCTTGCTTTGCAATATAAATTTATTTTTGATGTTATAGTGCAACCTTGTAAATTTTGAAAATGTGATAAGAGAATCTTTATTATGTTCTTGTCTTTAGGCAACCCAATATTCGAAGGAGAGAGTCACCATTTGCCAAACGAGAAGGCAATGTATTCCGCATCAACAATCAAAGCGATGATGATGAGAACAATACTTGGAATGGTAACTCTACTCAACAAATGTGATGGACTATCTAATTTGTGTTAGAATAGAATTTTTCCCCTTTTATCAGTCTATTGAGTGTATATTTGTTAAGATTGTAAAATAAAATAATCAAGCTGTTTATTTTGTCAACAATTTATTAGTAAATACTGTGAAACACATCAAATAATTGAACTCAACATAGTTAGATTAGCGCTTCTTTCTTTTACCTTTGACTTCTTGCTTACCATACTTGGCTTCTAAACTTTGTATCATACTATTGAACTGGCCTTCTCTTTCTTGGGTACGCCTGGACATAGCTTTCATGAGGCCACAGTCCATCTCTTCTTTAACTTCAGCTGCTTCTTTAGCTTCAGATTTGAACTACAGTAGTTAACAAGAGTTATTTAGACATATGAAAATAATAACAAAAATAAATTCCCTACACATGGGTGCCACTCTAAAAAGAATTTCAAGACTGGGCTATTTTTTTGACCAATTAACACGATCTAGCGTTGTTCACCAGAATTTTCAGAAATTTATAACTCACCGACTAAAAAATGCAACTTTCGATAATAATGGCACATACATTAAATCAATGATTTAATTATTCTTTTTTCATTTCGTGAATTTTTCACAGCAAACAAGATTTTAAAAAATACTAGTTAACCTTGTAGATATTTTTGTACCAATCACTGGATAATAAACCACTCATTTTTTCCTGAAGTTATCCATATGTCTGCTTTTTTCTTTTTGGCTTCATGATTATTTATTTCTTATTTGATCTCTATAAATTCAATTCAATAAAAAGATAATCTTAACTTCGTTCAGCATTTCAAAATGTTAGAGGAAAATGAAAACTCAAAACAAATTTGGGTAGAACAATAGTACAAATTTGGTTTAACCAAGTAGGCACTGAAGATCAATCAATCTCATTGTGGTGTGACATCATTACTAGATCACATAACAATGTTTTCATTAAATATTTAAATGAAGTTAACTAGAAAATATTTATTTAAAATGAACATTTTTAAGGAAGAAAAGCAAAACAAATGGAAAAAGAGATTAATTTAGTCTCAAGACTGATTTTCATCCCCAGGACTGAATAGTGGCACCCATGCATATAAAATAAAAATAATGCGATTTTACAAAAATGCCGTTACATAGCTGTTCAGAATTTTTTGGATTTGTTTCAAATTTTGAAATCAAATCTGATATTTTTATAAAAAATCCGAATTTTAGTAAAATTGCAGTATTTTTGCTTTTAAATCAATCCCTTGTTCCGATCGCCGCAGTCGCGCTTCCTTAGATTATTGTGCAGAAGTAATTTTTAACAGCGTTTTATTGTAAAATACTATTCCAATAGCTGTTGCTGATCATTTCATTAAATTGAAACTTAAACTATTATAATTTTTTTAAAAATGTTTTGTAGTATTAAACATTTGCATCAGAAATATTTTTTTATGATGTAGTTTAATATTTACCTGTGTTTCATAATTTGGAGAAGAATAATTATATATTAATAGATAATGGTTGCTTTTTTTTTAACTATTATACCAGTATTCCTAATTATAAAATATTGATATTATAAATTTCCCACAAAAGATAGTGTTTATATATATTTTTTTTTTACTAATTTACATAAGGAATTTAAATATACTATGTCTATTAATGTTATTATTTAATAGTTAAATTTTTGCCTTACTCTCGTATTTGGTGCGTATAATTTTGTCGCACATAGTGTTCCTAATTTTTTATTCCTAAGGTTGGCAGCTATGCCGTTATTGAAAATCTTAATAGCTTGGTTAAAAAATTTTTGAACTCAGATAAAAAAATTTGAAATAATTTTTATGGGGAAAATTAGGGCTTTTAGAAACATTATAAAATCAAGTAGGCACCTACATATTTTGTGTGTGTTAGATTTGTTTTTTTTTTTTCTTTCCATTTTTACTTTCGGAAAATTTTAATCGCTTATAAAAAAAAGTCTGAAAAATTCTGCAAAACCAGTAGCAGGGTTTCTGTTTCCATAATTTTAATTAGTGAATTTTAATTAGTTAATATACTTACACGCTTAATTCGTGCCATTTTTTTAGTTTTAGATTCTTTCACAAATTTGGGGAATGATGGAATTTCATCCTTATTAATTAGTTCCGTCAAAATGGTTATTAATCTGTCTTCCTCTTCTACGTCATAACCCAAGAAAACTTCAGCTATAAGATTCATATCACCTTCATACTTCACATAGCATTCTTTAAGGTCTTGAATTTCTTCATCAGATCCTACAAAAGAAATGAAAATTATTCAACCAATTGGAAAACAATGTTATATCATTTTTTATAATAATAGCCTGAGAGCTCAAGAAGAATAAAATAATGCTTTACTCAGATCATGTAAGGATAAGGTTAAAATAATTTGATGTAATTAAATGGAGTATTCAGGCATGTGATTCTTCCGTGAAGCAGTAATTTATATTTTGGCAAAATTTGACAGAATTCCGCCAATTTATAATTGAAGGTTTCGTTACTTTCGCAAAATCTTGTTAACGACATTTATTCCGACCTTACCAGTACCCTGTCTTTTGTCCTCCTAAATTCTCTGTCACACATGATAACAGCTTTGTTAAGCAGATTTGTTCTTGTTAAGCAGTTTGTAAGTTCTTTCCTTGAAAGAAACGAGAAGATGCTTATCTCTCAGAAGAGCAATAATGCTGCAATTTCTAAGAATAAGGAATTTTCCTATTAGGAGAATCCTCTTGTCACTTAAGTTCCTAATCCTGCGAAAAAAAGAATATTGTACCTAATTTTTTGTCAGTTCGGTCTGCATAGAAATATTTCATTTTGTGCAAAAAAGTTGAACTAGATTCAAGACAAGCTTACAAAGTATGAAATTTTTAGAATTTTATTAAGTAATAATGAGCTAAATTTACACTTATCAAAATTTAATATATAAACTTTTTTAAATAACTTTTAATTTTCCGAGAAATTTTCAATTAATGTTTTTAAAATGTGCTTTAATTTTCCCTTTTCCAAAATGAGATTTTTTTTTTCTTCTTCACCATGTTGATTTTCGCCACAAATTATGCAAAAAACATGGTTTTCAAAATATTCTATTCAACATTTTCAAAATTCATGCAACCACAATCCACTTCAACGTACCGAGCGCAAATCACTTTCCATGTTTGACGACATACTAGCGGGTCTGCTTGTGTGTATGAGCTAGATTTGGTGGTCTTGCATTCTCATGTGCAAATCTGATATATTTTGCAAGAGTTTCTCACTTTTAGACTTCATTTTCTACCCTTTGAATCGAACCAAAAAATCTCTCAAATGTTTGATCACGAGGATCAACTAAGCTTTGCCAATTTTTTCCCTAAAAGTGAAAGAAAATATAATTTCATTGCAGGGGAAGCTCCATCGTCAATGGAGTTCTCACGCTATTCTATTTATAGATGAGAACCACAATCCTTGAACACTTTGGGATTATTCACTAATTATGTATTTTCATGTGGTTCCTCAGAGCAGTAAGGAATCACAAAGCTTCATTTCTTAAGAATTTCCATCTTGCTTTTATTCTTTTAAATTAATAAATGAATTGAGATTTTTAATTGTAAGAATCTGTTCTTAAAGGACTGTCTACTAATTGCATAAAATTTTTGTAAATGTCTATTGTACCTTATAAGAATTAATTTTGTTCATATTTCGTGCGTTGCCTACGTACGAAGGTTGAAATTTTTAGGTGATTTTATTGTTTGAATAGTACATCTGCCTGATTGAGTAACTTAGTAAAAATGCATGTCAGTAAGATGATCTACAATTTTTGGTGTTAATATATATAAGGCAATTCCATTGTCTCAAATGTAAAACATGAACTGAAATTTCTTTGAACAATTTCATTTATGAACTACAAATTAAAATTATTAAATTTATGTTTAAAATACTTCGTTCACTATATTGTATCAAAAAATCGTTTATTTTATAAAATCTGATACTAATAAGTTCACATTGAATAGATTAAACTGTTGGTGTCGGACTTAAATCACGATTTTTTTTTTTTTTTAATGGCGGGCACTTGGGGGTTGTCCCATTGGCCACAGGAATGCCAGAACTGCTACTCTCTTCTCGTTACCCAGTGGGCATCTGTGGCGAAGCCACAGCGGCAGAGCAGCGCCGGCCACGTCACACAACCACAAACCCGTTTATAGGGCGGGTCACATTCACACACAAAGGAGAAAGGACATAGAACACAAGGAGAAAGAAACACCCATGCCCTGAGCAGGATTCGAACCAACGACTCTGCAGTCAGGCACGCTAAATGCTCCGCCACCAGGTCGGCAGTCACACAAAATTAAATTCCGATTACTTAGTTACGTATCCTTTAAATTCTGTGAATTGTTTTGGAATTTAATTTTAAATGGCTTATTGTAGTCCGCGGAGATCGAGATTCAGACAGAAAGTAAAGGTTATTATAAAAAAGCAGACAAATACATACAAATTTAAAAAGAACGCCATCTGGCGGTATTAAAAAAAAAGTCTTCATAATCCTTCCCTGGGAATGATTTTACTTTTTAATACATAAATACACAAAAATAATAATACATAAAAAATATTAATTCTTTTAATGTAAATTTCAAATTAAACCTATTTTTTCCAAAGAGAAAGTTTAAATTATTTACCATGTGTAAAGTAGCACCAGAATCCAGCATGAAAACAGTTTTGTTTTTACCTGTAGTATTAGAATTTATGTTGTTCTTGTTCGGCAGTAAGAGCAAAATTTTCTCTAGAATATTTATCTTGATTTTAAAATGCACAATGAGCGTTATAGTTTTTGGTTTTGTTAATAACCAATTAATAGTTCGAAAATGTTCAAAAGAACATTTTCGAACTATAACCTGGATTTTTCTCGAGATGGTGGATTTTGATTCCCCTCATTCTTGTTTCGGAAATAGCAGCCTTCAGCTAGGTGATCCGTTTTATGACAGATGGAACATTTCCTCTCTATTCTATTTTCATATTTTTGTTTTACTCCTAATGTTTCTGTTCGTCTAGGAAAATCATGTTTTTAATTTTGATATGCTGTTTTCTTCTTCTCACAGTATTTCTAAAATTTCATCCATTTGACGTTGGGTTTTCAGGATTTCTCTTATTTTTGAAAACTTTCCTCGTAAACCTGCATAAAAAACAAGTTCTCTTTCTGAAATTTCCAGTTTGAAGTCCACATGATCTTCTTGCATCGTTTACCAGTAAATATGTTTCCCATAGAATTTTTGAATTAGTTTGCGAACTGAAGACTTTGGTCGTCAGAAAGCCAAAGTTGAATGCTCGCTACAGCATCATCATTGTTTAGTGTCCATTGTTCTCACAACTTTGGATCAATGGGAGGCCTCTTCAGTAAGCATATTTGCAATTTTCGTAAGTGTCAGAAAAGCCTTGACTTTATTACGCCACTGATAGAAGTTGTCACCGTTGAGCAGTGGAATACTCGGCAGATCCCTATTCATTTTGGAGTCTTAATGATGTAAATCACGCGAAACTTAGTGAAACTTTTTACTGAATCATAATTTTCAAAACTACAGCTGAGCTGCCAACTGTAGCCCGTGGAGATCGAGATTCAGACAGAAAGTAAAGATTTATTAACAAAAAGCAGACAAATTTAAAAAGAATGCCATCATATTAAGCAGACTTCATATCAATCCTTCCCTGGGAATGACAACATATATATATAAAAGCTATGATATCCAAATATTTACAAAAAAAGAGCCACGTTTAAACCATGTGATTATAAAACCCGATGATTAATTTTAAAATTGTAAGAATATGAATCACATAAATATGAATCATATGCATGATTTTAAAATAGTGTGAATAAGTATCGCAATATTTAATTTTATGAGAGAATATGAATTCGATATGTGGCTTTTGAATCATGTGAATATGAAACTCGCTACTGAATTTCGAAAATTCTTAAATATAAATCATGATGCGTAATTTTTAAATTGTGTTAATACAAATAACTATGTATAATTTTTTATTTGCGTGAATATGAATCCCAATGTCTAATTTTTAAATTGAGTATAAATAAGAAAATTGATGTTTGATATTACAACAGCATAAATAAATCACGACATTAGATTTTAAACTCACTAGAATACGAATTGCTACATAGGATTTTAAAACACTTAACGTTAACACGTAAATACAAATAGCGCTAATGGATTTTTAAATCTCGTAAATAAGAATCGCAGCATAAGACATTTTAATTATTGAAAAACTCAACAATATTTAGAAGCAAAATTTTAAAAAAGTATGAAGTGAGGGACTTCCACCATTTTAAATGCAGCAAAAAATCTTATATTATTCATATTTGTTATTCTAAAAAACTTTAAATCATCCCTTAATGATTTCATTTAAAAACAATTGAAACAAAAATTCAATTATCTCAGATTTGTTATATAATATAGGCATAGGGATGGTAAAATTTAGTGTTTCAATTCTTATTGTATTTACATTTTAAAATCATTTAAATTTATTTAATCATTTTATTAAAGAAATACTGAACCAAGTTACAAGTTTTAAACAATTGTAACTAATTTACATTTGTAATATGAATTTATTTAAGTTTTCGTGGTTTTCTTAATTCTTTCATTCATTATAAATTCCGTACATTAATCTTGTAAATGTTTAGTTGAATGTACTTTTCATATAATAACTTTTATTTAAATCTAAGAAATACACTCAATAATATTTTTTGATATTAGTTAAATTAATTATAATTTTGAATTAAATTTTTTTACATAATTATAAATTTAAAAAATAGAATGAGTCCCTTAACATTAAATGTATTTAAAATTGTGCATAAATTGGGATCCGATGACAAGAAAGAAAGAAAAAAAATTACAGTAAGTTTCTCTGGGCAAAGCAAGTCTTTCTTCAATACTGGTAATAAACACTATGTATTTAATATGCATAGCTGTCGACATGGATAGGAAAATATCCAGTAGATTTTCAAAATAATATAAATTTCATGATAATTTTTGCATTAAGTACTAAATATTTTGCACATAGGAAATTTTAGGGATTTTTTATAGTCATTAAAAAAAAAATCTACAATATTTTACAGTTATAATTGACATTAAACATACTTGAAATGTTAAGTATTATGTTTCCTCATAATTTCAAATATTAATAAGCATTTAATTCATCAAAGATAGTAAAGATTTTTTTAATTAATTCGAAAAGTTCTGAATAAAAATAAACTGAACATTTTAGAAAAAAAGAAGTTTTGAACTGATTTCTCGAGGTTTGCTTCATTATATATTAGCAATACTTATTACAGCAATACTATTCAAGCAAGCAAAAAACTGTACAAAAGTTCGATTTAAATAGGAATTTTTAGGGAATTTTCTAAAATGTAGAAAAACCAGGAGAATTTTAATTAAACCAGTAGACCATGAGAAGCTGGCAAAATCCAGTAGTGTTGGCAGCTATGAATATGCTTTAAAAGCATCTGAAGTAATCAAACAAAATGGGCATAATTGAAATATATTACCAACAAAATATTCACATACAACTAATGAAAAACTATAACTTAACAATTTAATGTTATCCACTTTTAGTCTATAACTTAATTTATTTATTAATGTATTTTATTAGTAATCATTATTTTTTTTTAATAATATCTAATGATTAACCTTTTAATTTATTATTTCTTTAAATATACCTCCACTATCAATGAAATAAGACTTAAATAAAAATCACACTCTAAAGAATATATTCATAATTTCTTAAAAAATAATTCATTGGTTTAAATCAATGATTTCCTTAAAAAATCACAGTTGATTTAAATCAAAGTTTCTTTTTAAGAAAAAATTATTTAAATCAGGATTTTAATCATGATATAACTTAAGTGATATATATCATGTGAGCCCTGGCATAATAAGGTCCTGTTCTTTTTTCGATGCTTTAAAAAGAGAAAAAAAAGCATGTTTTTCAAAGATTTAAAGATTAAATTAAGAATAAAAGATTAATCAAAATAAGTAGTACTTTCCAAAATCCATTTTTAAAATGGAAAATATTATGAAGATTTTTGTCTTAGAGGTAAAATATTTTATGAAATAGAAAAATCTAAAAAAAAAATTTAAAAAAATTCGAAAAGAAACTTTTTTTTCTTCATATTATAACTGTAACATATATAGGTTTTTTGCTATAACCATTACCTTTATATTTGGAGAAAAAAGTGTCAATGTCTTCTTTCGTGATTTTTGGAAATAAATTGCGCCAGTAGTTTTCCCAAAACTCGGGAGTTGAATCATTTTCCGAAATATTATTTTCTTCATCAATCTCACCTAAAAGATGAAAAAATTACGTTCAAATTATTGTTCTTACATAGGATATTAGCATGAGGGTTGTTTAATAATATTTAGATAAAGAAAATTTGGAAATTGTTAAATTGAAAAAAATTATCACAACATATTGTTAAAATTCGGGAGTTGAATAATTTTCTTCATTAATCTCACGAAAAAAAGTTTTTTATCATATTGTTAGGAAGGAAAAGTATTACATGGTGGCCACTCAAATCAGATTTCAAATTTCCCTGATTTTTCCAGGTCTTCCAGATAAAAATCTTAAAATTTCCAGGTTTTAGTCTCTTTATTCTAATAAAGTGTAGGATGTAGGTACAAGAAAAGTGCCTATATTATAAAATATTTTATTCAAAATGTTATTTTTTTTAACATATCTTGAAAAAAATTATTTATTTTGACAATTTGGCAAGATTTTTTATTCATTTTTTAATGTTTTGGTACAAAATTTTGAATCAAAAATCATATATTGACCAAGAAAAGAGTAAAAGTAAATATTAGTATATAGTTAGTTCCTAAAAAAAACCTTTTTTTAAAATTAAAATATGTTATAAAAGGTTAAAATGAAATAGAAAAAATTAGCATTAATGCAACAATTGTAACAATTTGTCGATAAACATTGCTGTTAGCGATTATAAAAAAAAATTTGCGATTGGTTGGTTTGCTGAGAAAATATAATTCACGGATTTCTTTTAATGGGAATACAAAAGCTTTCAGAAAAAGAGTGCAATATAAAATCTATTATTATTATTAAATTATAACCAACTAATTTTTGGAGAATCTTAACAAGTTGAAAATACAAAAACATTTTGTCAAAATGGGAAAAAATTACCACGAAAGCATTGGAACAAGCTTAAGCTATAAATGGATTCAGCCCAAGGACAGAATTAAAAAACAGAAGCTAATATCCGAATCCCTTCTTCCACCTCCACCACAATCTTTCCTAAATTGCACAGTCCATAACGGTCAAAGATTTCCACATTCGTTTAGCAACCGTGGGAGAATTTTATGTCGCATTCTAGTTTAACAGAGCTGTAATGGAGCAAATTTTGATGCAAGCAAAGTTTTGCTAAGTTGATGATATTTCAACTGCTTGGAGATACATTTTCGTCTAAAAAAAGTGGGTATAATGGATAAAATAATTTAAATTGGTGAAATTAATTCTTTATCAGGGAATTCTTTAGAATTCCCTGATTTTTCCAAGTTTTTATCCAAATTTCCCTGATTGTACCAGGTTTTTTCCAGTATAAAAAAAATTCCCTGATAATTTCAGGTTTTCAAGGTTTTCCAGGTGGGTGGCCACCCTGAGTATATTAGGATATTTTAAAGATTAGCCACAGTTATCAATATTTCTAACTAGTTGCTTATCTGCCTTAGTTTACGCAGGCCTGTAAAGTAAAGAAATTATTTTGTATTATTTAATAGAAGGGTGTAAAACCTTCCTACCTTAAACACTTGTCTAATGTGTGTGTTGACTACTGAAATAAATCAGTTCTGTCGCAGCATTATTCATTATTTTTAAGTTCCACGCTTATTATTAGAATTTTCACTGAGATGATGATTAACCTCCTTACGAGGTGAATATGTAGAATGATGATGAAAAAAGTCTCGTTGCGAGAGTAGCAATCAGAGAATATTAATACAGTATGAGACACCTAATCTAGCAGGACCTGAAATTCGACACTTAATTCGATCTATTTTTTTCTTTAAATTTTATTTATATCAGGGGCTTGAATTTGAAAAATTTGGTGCAAAAAATTAACATAAGTTTCCGTAGTTATTGATTTAGATGCAAAAGACCACATATATCGAGTGTGATGATCAATTACTTTAAGTTAAATATTTTTTGGTAGAATTGTAATAACTAAAACCACCTACACTATCAATTACAATTATTTCAAAAGGTTTGTCAACTGGGGGCATTTCCTGAAGTAATCCAAATCTTTTCTGTCCAGGTTTTTTATTAATATGACAAGTAAGACAATGTTTGTTAAAATTTGAAATGTCTAAAGTAATATTTTCCCAACGTAAACATAAAACATCATCTATTTTAATAAAATTTCCAGTTAAATTATCATTTTGTTGAGCTTCGCGAATTTCGCCTAATTTCAAAAGATGTGAAAAATGGCTTACATTATTTAAATCAACATTACTATTGTGCTCAAAATTGTCAGGAATATCTCGGGATAACATGTCAGCTTCAAAGTTTAGAGTGCCTTTTGTGTATTTTTTATCATAATCATACATACTTATTAAGTAAAGACCAGCGGAACAACCTACTCTTCAGATTTTTTACATTTTTTTACCAAACTAAAGTCGCATGATCTGTATGTATGGTAAATTTATTTCCAAATAAATAGTGATAGAATTTGTTTAATGCATCAACAATAACAAGACATTCCAGTTCTGTGATAGCATAATATTTCTCATAGTTTCTAAGAGAACGAGAATGGAATGCTATTGGATGTAAGACACCTGAAACATCTGGCTGTTTTAAAATTGCTCTAACACCACTTTGACTTTCATCAACAAAAATATGACATGGTAATTTAGGATTAAATATTTTCAAAATTGGTTTACAAACTAAAGCCTTCTTTAAAATTCCGAATGCTTCTTCTTGACATTTGGGAGTTCAACACCAGGGTGTATTTTTCTTTAAAAGATTATTTAAAGGTGCTCTAACTTTAGCATAATTATTTATAAATTTATTATACACATTTATTGAACCTAAAAATCGTTGAAGAGATTTAACATCAGTTGGAGGTTTTAAGTTTTTAATTGCTTCAATGTTGTTGTTATCAGGAGGTACTATACCATTACACATTTCATAACCCAAAAATTGAATTTTAGTTTGCAAAAAAGAGCATTTAGAAGCTTTTAATTTTAAATTTTCAAATCTACATATTTCAAAAATTTATTTTAGATGATTTAAATATTCTTCATAACTATTAGAATAAATAATGATATAATAATTATAATTATCATATAATTCATTTTCAGAATTTTCTGTATTGCTTTTAGCGTTTTCATTCAGAATAAAATTGTAATTTTTACCACTCTGTAAGCGCATTCCAATAATTAAATATAACCTTTAGAAGAAGAAAAAATTAAATATATAAATAGCATATTTTGCTTTTTTAACCATAATAAAATAAAAATTCAAATTTTACTACTACAGTCAATATAATATACACTGTGATATATAATGCAATAAAAAAAAAATGATTGCTTAAATAATTAAAATTATAATCATACTGAATCAAAAGTGAAAAAAGAAAAAAAAAAAAATGATGCTAACACTAAATTTAAATATTATTATTTAATTTAAACAAATAATATTGTAAACCATTGAATAATAATATCAATAAATGGAAATATTATCAAAATATAAATATCAATAGCCATAAAATTATATGTTCAACAGTAAATACCAATCACATCTTCATTTAATCACCAATAAATCACTTCAAATATTTGATAAATCACGCGCGAGCCAAATCATAGCCACCACTTGAGATCACATTTTTGGTCATCTCCCGTTCAAGGAAACACAGAAGAACATTTGAGGAAATCACCGAAAACAAGTCGATCACACACTGAACCTCTATCAACCCTCAATGAGACCGACAAGCAGCTAGCAAGTAGGGCAACACAGCAAGTCACCTGGTGTAGATCCGCAAGAGGCTAATTGTTGATGGTAACATACGGTAGACAAAAATGAGACAAAACAGCGACGAAATCAAATCTCTTCCAAATCAAATTCCGGTACAATGGTAGAGGCAACATCTGGACCCATTAAGGAGGAAAGTCCCAAAATTCTCTTCTTTTAATTTTTTGGCATCAGATTCTTTTAGTCAGGATGTCTGTTTCACGAGCAATGCCGGCATCTCCCAAAATTTCATTTGATTGCATTCTTTTCTTTTTCATTCTTTCTACCATTCTTATGATGCAATCCTTAAAACACTTTAATCGTTTTTAGGAATTCAGAGGAATTAGTCAGAGGAATTTCATCCTCTTCATTTTCTTTTAGACTTGATATTGAATGTTCCCATCCTTGCAAACTTTAAAGTCAATAAACTAAGAAGTTTCAACTTTCAGACTCTAAAATTTTGATAGTTTCCACCACTCACCAGTCTGTACTGCCCGAATCTAGCTTCTAATTCATCCGCTTGAAATTTTCCAAACAGAATATAGTGGGGCTGTATACTTTCAAAGATCTTGAGATGGAAATAAATGATCTTGTATGCAACAGTGCAAAAAAGGTTTCCCTTGAAAGTTTACTGCTTCTAGAAGTCGATTTAACATGGTGCTCTAAGACATTCCCATTTCTCACTTATGGCACCGAATAAGGGATCACAGTAAGCATTTCGCTTAAATTTACCCTTTTCTGATGTCTCGACGTTAACAATTTTCCACCATTTAGAAATAGTATAAATAAAATTAATAGTGCCCTCAATATCTGTCCAAGTTTAGATACCTCTAAAGCTGCAATTAGTTTGTTGCCAAATAATTTTAACGCACGGTTGACATTCTGCCTCTGCAGATGATTAGGAAATAGTTCTTGTTAGCCCTGGAGCTAATTTAATACAATTATCAGAATCATTGTAATATAGACTTTTTAAATGAAAAATACTCGCATAGACATTTTCTTTCTCTCCACTTGACTCAGTGTCAGCTGGCATATAAAAGTTTGATTGGTATTGACAAGTTGTTCCGGATGCATTTAAAAATATGAACTCTATCAAAAAATAATAATAGCTTCTATCTAGGATCTTCAGGATTAGGTATTGATGGTTGCAATGCGCCACCACACAACTTATCAAATGTTTTCCGATTTACTCAGTTGTTATCACCAATAGCAGCTAAAAGTTTATATCCAGCCTCCTTTAATATTTTTAAAACATGCAAAAGTATGGGTTAACTGCTGTTTGTCTGGCCATTGGAAATAAGCCTACAATATCTTTATTTTTTGAAAATATAGAGCATATTAAAAATCTCTGTAAAGTTGAAGCTTCAGTGTTTTAACTATTAATGGATAAGCCTACTAATTTGCCTTCTGTATATGTTATTTGCTGATTGACATAAATTTCATCCAGCATACTGTTTTCAAATGCTCCAATAATTCCATACATTTCTACTACAAGTACTTAGTGTGGGTACTCTTAACACCAGCTTCCAAATTCCCTATATTCTGTATTAGCGTCTTCAAATAGTAAGGATGCAGCAGAGTAAGTTCACCTGACTTTCGTGGAAGACAATAGGCAGCAGGATACTGTAAATAACAATGACTCTAACTCTTTCTTTATAAGTTAACCACTAATACAAAGCAATGCACCACAAGTGGGCAATTTGAACAGGTTTCACTGTATACTGTAAATAACAATGACTCTAACCCTTTCTTTATAAGTTAACCACTAATACAAAGCAATGCACCACAAGTAGGCAATTTGAACAGGTTTCACTGTATACTGTTAATAACAATGACTCTAACCCTTTTCTTTATAAGTTAACCACTAATACAAAGCAATGCACCACAAGTGGGCAATTTTAAATACCAATGACTCTAACCCTTTCTTCATAAGTTAACCACTAATACAAAGCAATGCACCACAAGTGGGCAATTTAGACATGTTTCACTGTATACTAATGTACATTCGGCTAGCCTTCAGAATCTCGAAATAGGAAGACAGGTGATTTGTATTTAAACAATTTCGGCTTTTAATTAGGACTGTTCAAGCACCTGCATCATAGGATAACAAATATGTAATTTTATACTTGGAGCCACTCTAACAGCTAATAATGATGATGGAAAAATCTCTTATGAACAGGAAATCATGTTTACAGAATTATGCGTCTCAGGGGTCAAGTCATAATTAATTTTTTACGTTTCTACGATTTCCGGGCTTACTGTAGTTCAAGTGTGTAAAAATCACTGCTAAATACATCAATATAAAGCATAAAACGTCAAAATATTTCAACAACGAAAAAATATTCACTTACCAGATTCATCATAAACAGCTCTTTTCTCAATATCAGACAAAATAAAATGAACTTTAGCAAGGACCTGAAATTTCCGAGTTGCTTCAACTTTAGCCTCGTCTTCAACCCTATCTGGATGGATCAGTAAAGAAGCTTTTCTATACGCCTTCTTAACTGAAAAAAAAATTTCACACTTAATAGCAACTCAAATCATTGCAAAGTGTACATTTTCAAAAATAAATGAACGCACTATCCAAGAGAGAAGCGCCTTTTCGAACTCCTAAGACATCGTATAAATTTTTTGTTGAGAAATACAGTTCACATTCTTGAATCAAACCCATTGTAAAAAAATTCCCATCTAATTTATTAAGAAAGTCGATAAAAACATTATTCGAGAAAGAGTAAATACTTTTTGTTCTTACAAATAACAACAAAAATCCGCGCTAGTTTTTGGTTGCCAGATTTTTTAAATCAACCTTCACATATTTGCGATCGAAATATTCGAATACGCCATCTAGGGAGAAAACGGGTTCCATGTCTTATCCCTTTTATCTCCTTTTTTCTTTTATATAGGAAAGTATTACCATATTTTCCCTTTCTTAATATTTTTCATTATATCTTTTCATTTATTTTAATATTTTCTTAATATTTTTCAAATTTTTTTTTTTTAAATGTCATGTGAAGTGAATTATAATCAATGTAGTTTCCAGTTATATATAGTTTCCTAACTTACAAGCTTTTTATCTATTCGAAAATTAAAGTCCCGCAGTGGACTGATCGTTAAGACACGGTTCCCAGCAGATCACCGAAGTCAAGCATCCCTGGCTACGGTCAGTGTGCGGGTGGGTGACCACTTGGATCAGTCTGGACCGAGGGTGTGCGGTATTGGTCCTCGTTAAACTGTGCTACCGTAAAGTGCTCGACTTCGCGCGCAGGTTCTCGGGCAACCGAAGCGGGGGTGCCAACCTCTCCGCAGTATATCAAAATTGTGATGGCATGTCTTCGGATCATCCTCCGGGATGTTTCCCAGACCGTCGCCAATAGCCCATTGTGCAGCTCTAGTGCGACGTAAATTAACAACAACAGTTTACAATCCCAAACTATCTCGGGCGAATGAAAAAAATTAAATATTAGTCTTTGTATATGTTCACATCTTCCTTATCTGAAAAATCATCTGCATTACACTCTGCACTTTCACTCGCGAATGCCATTTTTTAACTTCTTTTTTTTTTCTATGTAAATTCATCCACCATCAAATATACAATAGTGCAAAACACGTCTGCAGTCCCGCACATAGCAAAACACCCAAACAGAAATTGGCAAACTTCCAATCACAGCAGATTATAATTATTTTTTGTTTTACTTCCGGCTAAATAAAAATGTGATAAAATAAAACGTATTGACGAATTCTGCTATGCCTGAGTTTACTCGGGATAATCAGGGAAGCAGTTAAAAATATTAACTTTAAAACATGAGTTTATAACCGGATAAAAAATGCACATCAGAAAATAGAGAGTAATATACTTCTTGTGCCCTCTTCTGATGCATCTTCTCTCTCTGACAGAAATTTTAAACACAATTAAACAAAGAGCTTCAGTAACAGGTTCTAAAAAATAAAATATTTATGTTAATTATCGTAACAAAACCAGTTATGTTCTAAACATAGACTTTTTTCCAATTTTAAAATGCAAATATAGCATTTTAAAAAATAACATCGTTTAACTTTAATTGTAAGAAGAAAAATACCAAATCTTAAATTAAGAGCAACTATACAGGGCTGTACCTATGGCTCCCGAGCTTCCTTAAATATTAATAAAAGAAATTTTTTTTCCCCTTTATCATTTTTCACAGTAAGTTACTATTTGTTAAATACCTATTCTTCTATTAGCAATTCTTGAATCTATTGTCACTACTTTTTGGAAGTAATTTTTTTTTTCTTTCTCATTGCCTTTTGAAGAACTAATGTGGGGGAGCATTTAAAACTATGGATTGTTTATTTTTATTTATTAGTTTTTAATTTGTTAGGAAAGATATATTAATTTTAATTCTTTTTTTCTATACAAATTTTAATTATTTCAGTTTTATTTTTTGCGGTTTTTGAAAGACATTTTTGAAATAAAATGTTTATATTCTGAATAGATTGAGTTACACTTAATAAAATTAATGTGAAGATGTAAAGATCCTGCAATTAACCAATATACAATAAAAAATCACTTAACAACTTAAAAAAAATTTTTTTTTTTACTAATTAGCAGGTTAAAATAAAACTATAACATATGGTCTGACAGTTTTACGTTCTAGGGTAAAATGCACATGTTAAAAATCCATTTCAGTTCAGGGGTCTGTCTAGGGTTTTTGGAAGGTACCTATTTTGTGAAAATTTAGGCATAATTTGTTAAATTTAAAAATTATATTAAAAAATCAACACAAAAATATGGTAAAGTATGAAAATATTTAAAAAAATTATCACTACAAATAAAAATCATTTATGACTGGTAAATTCCTATATTTTTTTCCTCATATATTCAAAAATAATTTTTCTATTGTAAAATTTTGACCAAACACGTGCTACCTTTTTGTAAAAGACAGCAGGCGGAGAATATCTTATCCATAGATTGCAACGAGAATGGGATTTGAACGAGAGCTTGCTTTTTTAAAAGTATTTTGTGAAACTACCGATTTTTATGAAGTTAAACTTCAAGAAACCAATTGCCCAGCTGGTATGGCCAGTCAATGGCTGGAATAGATTGTCATTCTATGGTAAGTAAAAAAACTAATGGAAAATAGACAAGAGCACAAAAATATTTTGAAAACTTCATTTATTTAGTAAATGATAAGAATGGGAAAATATATAGACATATGAAAGGTGTTACTGGCCTTTCTTAATGAATAATTTTTGAATCCTTTTCAAAAAAGAAGTAAAAGATATTATAATATTTTAGGGAGAGAAATTCATAAGCTATCGAAATTTTATGAATCACTACTCAGGAAAGCAGGAATGAAAATTATAAAAACTCCAATAACGAACATAAAATAAAAATATGTTGTAATAATTAGAGATAAACTCTTCTCTGTTACCTAAGGCAATCAAACAGGTTATATTGTTTTAATTTTTGATTCCTTTATTAGAAGGACGCCTATCTATGACATAGAAGATGGGGAATCATGGATTTGACAGCTTTGAATAATTACTATTACGGTTAAAACAAAAAGGTACAAGAAAAAATTATTGCAACTGTTACTGTAAGTTCGAAGTGAAATGAATCCAACAGGACTTCAATATCTGTATGCCTAGGTAGACCATTTAATGTACACAAACTAGCAAATGACTAGTTAGTGGGAAATTTGTCACCAACCTTATGTTTTTTAATATACTTTTCAACAATTCAACGTGAATTATGTGTTCTGTATAAAGAAATAACTATTTTTCTTTTCTGAAATAGCGAATAATAGCTAATAAACGGTTAAATTTTGATAATTTTTATTTATTTTTTTATTTTATTTTCTGTTATTTTTTTAACTTCTTTTTCAATATTTTTAAGTGAATAAAGTGTTCTGTATATGAAAAAAATTATTATTTTTTTGTTAAAGAGCGAATAATGGCGGAAAAAAGGACAAGAGTCATATCAGGAGGCACGCACACATCACACCCCGTAACTCTCTTTAATATTAACCTATAAATTTCAAACTGGGGCAGAAATTAGAGTCTAATGTGACGAACAACTGTACCCGAGGACATTTTTATACACACACGAGTGGCCAGAAAATGAGTCAAAATATATTTGTTGACTAACCGGGGGGAGGTGTTTTAAGCTGTTGATGCGCGGGCCTGGCATGTGAAGCGTGGGTCAGTTGGTAGCTCAGTGGGCAAACTAGATTTGAAGGTACTGAGGTCCTGGAATCGACACTCTGCAAGGATCGACTCTGAATTTTTATTTATTTATTTTATATTATGTTTTTAAATATACTCTTCAACAATTCAACGTGAATCATGTGTTCTGTATAAAGAAATCACTATTTTTCTTTTCCGAAATAACGAATAATAGCTAATAAACGGTTAAATTTTGATAATTTTTATTTATTTTATTTTATGTTATTTTTAACTTCTTTTTCAATATTTTTAAGTAAATAAAGTGTTCTGCATAGGAAAAAAATTATTTTTTTTGTTAAAGAGCGAATAATGGCTGAAAAAGGGACGAAAGTTGTATCAGGAGTCACACACACATCACACCCCGTAACTCCCTATAAAATTAACCTATAAATTTCAAATTGGGGCCGAAATTAGAGTTCTATGCGATG